ATACTATAGACAAGTATACAGTTATTGCAGTGGCTAAGCCTACAACCTAGGCAATAGGTTTCTATTTTTGTTTAAAGAAAGATCTATTTTGAGATACTTCTTTACTATAAATATGCAGGATTAAATAGAAAATATAAATTTGAAAGGCTACGTATCGACGTCAACATAGTCACAGAGTATAAGTAGCGTGAGCGTTGTTAATTCCATTAGTGCAAAGCGGATCTGAGTATTTACACGTAGTTCCGCAAACGACTGACACCTATGGTTTCGCAATGTTCACCCGCGCTTGCACATCGCTATTATGTAAGCGTATAGAATGTTGCTAAGTTACACATGAAAATATTGTATTACTACCATTACCCGCGGCTCCGCTCGCGTTCAGATGCCCAAAAACCAAATTCTTAGGTTTTACATATACTACTCTTACTTTTACATATTAGTATACTCTTACAGTTTTTGTATTTTTTCTCAGAAAAGAGACATTTTCCCGTGGTAAAAAGTATCCTATATGTTGACCCGGATCATCAGCTATCACCATACCAAATTTTATCAAAATCTCTCCAGTGGTTTTTCTGTGATGCAGTAACAGACAGACAGACAGAAAACAGACAAAAACTCTAAAAACTATAGATTCGGCCTCTGTATCGATAATAATGTTTATTTCAATAAGATTTTCCAAAAAAATTTAATATACAGATTTGGCTTAGTTACAATATTATTAGGTATACCTATGTATATATAGATATACGTATATCATTATATAGAAAAACTTTTTAATGACCATATTAAACTTTTACAATTTTCTATACATATATTTTCATAATTTATTTAATATTTTCTACCAATTGCTGAGTAAATAGAGTACGTACATCTATAAATAGCTTTTACAATATTTTTATTCTTACCTGCTAGTACTTAAGGCAGTACAACCTAAATATGATTGTATTTTTATATATAGCTAATTTGGCACAAAATTATTATATTTATAATAATTGCAAGTTATTATAAAATCATAATTAAATGACATTTTTGAAGTTATACTTCTTTTGGCACGTTAAAAAAAATATGAGAGTAAAATATTTACGATGCGCGCGCACACCGACAGCCAAAAAGCAACATGATGAAGTTAGCTGCATTCCTTTTACAATCAGAAAGTTGTGACATACGGGATGATATCTTCAGCTATTTTTGTTCTGTTACACCAAAGAAGTATAACTTCTTACGTGCATACATAAGTACACACACAAGTTTTTTTCATTACACGAGTATATATAAAGCTAGATTCTAATTCGATCTAGTCTAAGCCACTGGAACAGTGTAATGGCATTACCTGTTAATGTAAGTAGCATTAACATACTATCCTCAAACAGTGTAATTACAGTATTTCCTCCCGTACACACGCAATGTAATACAATTTGCAAATACTATTGATAACCTATAGGTATATTTTTTCTTTACAAAGTAGCGTATACTTTACATAATCAGCTTATTTAATTCATATAATTTATGTATCATTATTGTATTTGGGTAATAAAATTAAATAATTTTAAGTGAACTTGACGTAAGTAAACTTAGATTATTGAAAAGCTTTTTCAAATTTTAATAATTTTTTTTACTCAAGTTTCGCAAGTTAATAGTTTTTCAAACTAAGTCTAATAGAAATACAGCAAAGTAAAATCTAAGAGAAAATAAACCTTACTTGGTTTCTTTACTCTAATTGCTCGGACTTGTGCGACACTGATGAGACAGTGGGTTCCCGAGTCATTACAGACTATTGAATCTCTCGAGATTTTGTTAAAATACTATCTTATAAATGAAAATTTTAACCATTCAAATAGAAATTAATGTTAAGGTTTTTTTCTTTATTTTAGAAATTATAAATGAAATAAAAATAGCCTTATTAACTTACTACTTTCGTTAACATTTTTCTTTCTTTTGAACACAACTACTTATACTTTTTGGGACTTTCTGTATGTGTATTTGTAAATGTTTTACTTATATTTATAAAACTATATGGCTATCTATATATCTACATAACTATATGTGTACTAACTTTTGTAAATCTATATTTCTATATCTACATGTGTATGTAGCATAAAATAATAATCAGTATATATTAGTAGTAGTCGCCTCTGCGGCGTAGGCCTCTCCTAAACCTTTCCAAACATCTCTTTCCCGAGCCTTTTGCATCCAGACATTACCACACCTGTGTCTGTAAATGTCTCTACATCTTTTACTAGGTCTCCCTATTCTCCTTTTCCTGCCCCTTGGCAGTTCTGTTGAACTGGTCTGGTCTCTCTGTTAAACGTTTTGTCCATCTATTGTTCATCATGCAAACACGCCCTGCCCATTGCCAATTTAGTAATCTAATTATTTTCCTTACATATATTATTTTTGTTTTGTTTCTGATGTCACTGTTGTGAATTTTGTCTGATAATTTTATTCCCAGCATGCTCCTTTCCATTTTTCTCTGGCATATAGCAATTTTTTCTTCATCCTCATTTCTTATTGCCCACATCTGACAACCGTATGTTAGACATGGTAATATTGTTGTTTCATAGATTCTCTTTATATTTATACTCTCTCTATTTTAGAAATTATTGAACTAGAATTAAATTTAAATATGATGAATTAATCAATTTAATCAATTTAAAAAAATTAGGACTAAACAGAAAACGTAAATCTCAGACACATTTCATGTCAATAAGTCAAGGGGAAAACAAAACAAAGTTGACGACACTCCTGACCCTGACAGTAAGTTAGCGCGGACAGTCCCAGCACTTGTTTGGCGATCCACTTTAATTACCATCCATCAGACTGACAGAGCTATCGCGACGCAACATCGATGCGTGCGTTCCGAATACGGACGCGACGTAATTGATGTCGCTAATATAAGCGTCTTTGACGACAGTTAGATAAGTCCTCCGAGTATGTAAAACTTTTTGAGATTGAAGAAAAGATATATTAATGAAAAATGGCTAACTGCTAGTTAGCTACTCTTCAATAATAGCTTGCTCGTTAAGCAGAACACACGTTTAAGACGATTTAGTATAGTAAATATTACTTATCGCCGCCCCCGGAGAATAAAATGATAACTGCAAAAACCCATTTTTCAGGAAAAATAAAAAACCTATTTTTGACTTTAACTTTCTAAGTAATAGATGTAGAGAGATAAAAAAGCTAATGAAAGCAATGATAGCTAACTTTTAATTTTTTTTTTATATTTTTTTAAGAAGTAACTTGTCTTCCTAAAAATTGTCGATTCAAAATTTAATTATACATTTTAATATCCAAGAAAATTAAATAAATATTAACAGTCTAAAGAAACGAACTGCGCATAATGCGTATCGTCGTCTATTCCAATAATAGCATCCTTAATGAGATGTAAATGAGCGAAGAAGTAGCCGACTCCGTTCGCGTTATAATAACGCGTAACGACCTACAAGTCCGGATTAAGAAGCCCTTTGACTTAAACCTAGGCATCGAATAATATCGCCTACCTGTGACAATCCTCTACATTACAAAGTCAACTCTAAAATAGGAAAAATAAAATTTATTTTGCTTTATCGTTAGCCAATTATTAAGTCCTATGCGGCAATTCTAGCAGCACAATAGTGTGGATATTTTGATACTAATTGGCAGAGAGGGTTGCGAATTAACGTCACGGCCACGGCGTGTCGTAGCAACCGGCTTTGTGCCTCTTGAGTCTGATAAATAGTTTTACTTTACATTCAATTATAAACTAACTATTTTGTTGAATACTTTTTATATATTTATATTTTGTCTCTTGGACTCAGCGTAGCAGCGTTTGTCCAGCTAACATACTTTATGTAAATATATGCAATGGACGTCAAAGCCTACCCTGTTAGCGTTCATTTGAAATCCTTTTGGACTCGCTTGATTCATTATCGTGAACATTGTTAAGCGTAGTATATTTACAATATCAATAGGCAAAGCCTCATTACAGCAAACACGATCGTTTAATCAGACGAGCGATTGTTACAGATCGAAGCCATGCTCCGTTTCGCACAAAATTATTCAAAGTTCTGTAAAATTGACTGGAAGAATAGCTAGCAACAATTCATACTCATTTATCGTTTACCTGTGTTAAAAATTTATAGTTATAATTTTTGTTACTACTTCATTATATAATATATGGATATACACGTATTAATGTTTTGTTATAGATTATCATAATATTCACTGAAACTACTGATGATTAGGCAAAATAAGAACATCGTAAATTAAGAAAAAATATATTTAACAAAGGACACATATATTTTTGATTAGCGTTGTACTAGGAGTTGTGCAGTTTACAGGATATATATTATGCATTCGTGAATATAAGGGGCATAAACAAGAGTCCGATTCAATTACAGCGGCGGGTAGGGCTTGTTAGAAACGCATCACGCATCTCAGATCGGCCACAGCAAGTAAACAACGTACATATACCTGGTGTTAAGCCACGGAAAACAATGGAACACCCAAATTAGGGCTTCGTAGTTGGAACAGCTGATTGATGTCTCTTTGTATTAACGTTTCGGCTTCGATTAGGTACATTCCAATGGGCTTGTGATGATAATTTAGGTATTTTATTATACTGTTTTTGACTTACAAGTACACGTTATGAACATAGTGGGAAGCTCGCTTAACACAAAAAATGAATGGTTATAATTTAATAAAATGAAACTCGACGCGGTTAAATTTTATTATCGTATTCATTTGCACGTAAATATTTCGACATAGGTACATAACTACTGAATACATTGTCATTTTACATATGCGCTATTGAGAAGCATTACTATTTATACACCTCCATTTTAGTATATTTTTTCTTATCTTCTTAACTCTTATTTTGATCCTGATAGACATAAGATAACCATTATTATACAAATAAGAATAATTATTACATATATTTCTTAAACAAATGCATATTTATTCAGTAATTAAAATAAAATTTTATAACATCACTTTTATTTGTTACAGGCAATCCAAACTCCATGCAACCACAACCTCAACCACAAGGACTAATCGTAGAGACGGGAAATGGGGCGAGTGTTCTACAGCTGCCGGCGACCACGTTAGAGCAGATCCGACATATAGCAGCCGACCCCGGAGCCTCCACGCTACGCTTACCACCACTAGCTACTGAGTTCCCACTGGGTGCCCGCGAATCAGACTTCGATCTTTGCTATGTTTGCAAGCATTGCAAAGTAGCTTTCCCATCGGCAGCTCCTCTCCAATCTCACCAAGCAAGATCGTGCTACGCTGGTCGAGAAGCTTCTCGCGGCGTCATAAGAGTGGTCCAGCCAGCGCTTGAGTGTCGAACATGTCCAGGTGAACGATTCCGGACGGCGGCAGACTACCGGCGTCACGCAGACACAGATGCTCATCTCCGCAACACTGTACCTCCTCCACCGCCTCCTGTACCGGAACCTCTCTCACACGAAATGGAGGATGTAGTCAACCAGATAACGCTTCTGGCGGCACGCGCTGCACAAGATGCCACATCATCCAAGGACCCCAACGTAACTTTCTGCGCGCCAGGCCCGCGCTTCCCACAGCCAGGAGAGCTGCCTCTCGCAAGCGCCGGCCATTAATCCTAACTAAGAAATGTATAGTTACTACTACTAGTGGAGCATCTGGCTCTCTCCGTTGTTCGACAACGCAACAGTTCACTATTAGCTCTTAACGCTTCTTTTCGTTGATGATTGTTGTTGCAGAAGCGACACTGTCTTAGTTATACGTTTAAAGCTTGTAGTCGTATAAGTCTAGGTTAATAGGGAGCCGGCCTTCGTTTCGAGTTTTTGTACGTAAGGTGACGATGCGCGGGCTCCCACGTCGCCGCCGCACTGGGAGGCGGCGGCGGCGGCCCGCTCGGCCGCTCTCGGCGCCGCACTTCATATCATACGTTAGACAGGTTTTATTATATACGTTTATCGTTGCGGTCGCGCGCAGCTCGCGGCCGGGCCGGGTGACTCGATTCTTTACCATCGTCTCCCAGGAAAACAAGTTCCTATCTTTATGGCATATAATATTATCGATATTGATAATTACGATTTAATTATTGTTTAAAGCTATGTAATACATACATATAATCGTTCTAATTTTAGGCATAGATACGTTCTCGTAAGAAGTTCCTGATGCATCGTAAATGTATGAAGATATATATACGTATATGATTTTTTAAACGTGAGGCGAAGTTAGGTACGTATGTTAGGCAGTAGTGCGGTCGTCCTCTCGCGCGGGTTTCACGCTCCAAAAAAACGTATCCCCACGAAATTGAATCAAACGCGACCCTCCGCATTAACCGAATGGCGTAACTTTCGACGAAAGTGACGATGAGTAGACGCGTACTCGTACCGAGGTACCGGTCGGGATGTGAGGGTGCGAGCGCTCGCACTCGAGAGCCGCCCGTGGAGACGCGACGACACCGCGTAGGCTTATTGGTAATGGTTAATTATAATAATTATTATCGTAGCAAACTTTTCCAAAACGAACGAACTCGAAACTCGGGCTGCGCGCCAGCGCTCAGCCTACCTCGCATACAAGTGAGTTTATTTTGGAACTAAGTGTGATTCTTGAATTTTTATTGATATTGTAATGATTATTAGTAGTGGCGTAAGTGAGTCGAAAGCAATGGAGGTACATGCGGCGGCAGCGCGGCGTGCGCCCGATGCCCTGCGTTCGCCCCTCTCGCATGTATATTCATCACTTTGCTGTGTGCGTGGAGTCCCTTATATTTTCGATGGCACAGATCACGTTATTTAGAATATTTTACATATTTACATTTTATCTAGTGGAGCGGAATACAATATTTTATCTACGAGCGAAACCTACTACAATATTGAGTTTGTTCTTTCATAAAGTGCAATGTTTTATTCCACCGGTAGCCGGCGGTCCTTGTTATTTCTATGTGCAATGGGGCGATGCTTGCGCGCGATGCGTCTCTATCGGATCGCTTTACGTCTCTCCAGGGGCGTCTGGGACGTTACGTCAACAATTGGCAATGAATCAACAGGAAAAAATAAAAGGAAAAGTAAACATGGCCACCTATACGAAAAAATAAAAAAACGAGCGATGAAAATTATCACTATACATTATAGTTAATAAATAGAAAATATTTTAAAAATATGAACAAATTATAAAGTATACGATATAGGAAAGTTATCTCGGACGTAGTTGATTGACGCAACGCGCGCACGCAACGTTTTCTACGCGACGGCGCGCGTTTATACTACATTATTTTGTTTACTGTGTTAATAAGATTATAACGTAATATTTATTAAGAAGACCCCTATTGTTTGTTGAGGCGTTCGTGAAACTCCACCGCGTGACTTCGGCGTCGGACGGTAGCGTATGAAGATATTTATTTTGTCGGTTTGTATCGGGAGTACAGTAAGTTTGAGTTAGCGTAGGTGGACAAGTCGGTAGTGCGATGTTGTGTCTCCGCGGACGACAGCCCGCGGAATGAATCATGGTTCCTATGTATATTTCAATATTATCGCATCTAGAGTTTCACTATACTTTCCGAATACAAATTTTAATATTTAAGATTTATTCGGATTAGTCTGTTGTATCTGCTACTAGAGGTGCCGCCACGGCATTGTTGTTTGTTTACTTTGGTTATACAGGCTGTTTTAATTCGTTTCGATATTTTTGTAAGAATATTCAGCACTTTTATATTATGTATTTAAATTTTGTTATTATGAAAATATTTATAAATCGCAACCTTCATCATCCTCTAGGTGTAAATGGTTAAAAATATAAGTTTACGATTGTAAAGGTAGCACTCGCGTCTATCATAGTTCCTATACTGATATTGTAATACTAAATTATTTTGAAAATTCTTTCATAGTGAAATGTACCGTTCCTATATTGTAATCTATAACAAAACTTTATGTAAACTGAAATAGAACTTGTGATGTTTAATACATTTATGTGTTGTATTTAATGCCTGTTTATTTATGGATTGTATTAAGATAAAGTCAATTTACCGATATTTGTTTAGCGATAGTTACGTTCGTGCCGCGCGCGTAGGCCCTACGCGAGCTACGCGCCTACGATGCATGCCACCCGTAGCCGACAACAGATTACGAATACATTGTCAAGTGTAAATGGTAAAAATAAACTCAAAGTTAGTTTATCAGACACTGGAGTTTTATTTTATTAGCACCTTATAAAAAGCAATTCAAAAAGTACTATATTTAATTATTTTTATGCTAACGACTTTAAATCTTGAATCAGTATTTCCAATCTATTGGGAAACTGATACTGCCTCACATAGCCCTGCTTACCAGAGCTAGGGTCAACTAAATATAATTATAAAACAAATACATTACATATGAGTATTATTATTGTAAAGCCTCAGACTAAGGAATAATATAGATGGAGTGTCATAGAACTAGACATGAAGTCAAGCAAAATTGTCAATATTACCAGTACAGTTACCATGTGTTGATATAATCGCTCAAAAAATAATATTTTTAATGGATTATATAAATTAAATTTTATAAACTTTGAATTTATTTATTTTTTTCTTACAATTTATTGTTCATAAAAATATTCAAAAAATATTTTATCTACAAAAAATGGAAATTAAAAAACAAACAAGATTATCCGTTTAAAACAGCATAGAAATATTGATACGAAACTCTTTACTACGATAATTAAATAAATGTTAATCAATAAAAAAACTAACAGATTTTGTAGTAGTAAACAAATATTGAAAATATAATCTCTTCTCTTCTCATTTCTTCCCTTAAAAACATATTATGTTATTAATAGAAGTAGGTAATGATTAAAAATATAAAATAATTTAGTATTAGGCTTAGTATATATATACTATTCATATTTTCTTCTCAAAAAATGTAAATCAAAATTAAGTTTCCCTTATTCTAGGGAATAAGTTAACAATATCTATGACAACATCAGAAATAGTAGCAACACAAACAGTAAAATTACGCTACTATACTAACTTTAGCAATTTTTTTGCATACGCCGTCTATATAATTTTTAGTCTAAGTGTAAAATACATAATAATTATCCAGCATAAATTCAAAAGATCCTTTTAAAAATTTATATAAAATATTTATAAACAGAATTAAAAATATATAAGATTATTATTAATTTCACTGTGCATTTAATAATAATTAATTTATTAAGCGCATTTATTATCTATACTATAATAAAACTGTAGAGGTCGAATATCTGTACATAGAAAAAAAATGCTAAAAACCGAGTCAGGGAGATGTAAGAAGAGAAATAGAACAAATTCAGATTTTTCAATTTTTTTGTTTTTCTGTTTGTCTGTTTGTACGGGCTAATCTCCGAAACTATTGGATCGATTTAAATGAAATTTTGCATGGCGGTACCTTATATCCCCAGTCAACATCTTAGATTCTTTTCATCCCGGAAAATTAAAGAGTTCCCGTGGGATAGTTAAAAACTATATTAACTTATACCGCTTAGTACACAAAAAGTACAGACTGGATTTTAATGAAACTTTACTATAATATAGTTCATATATCATAATAGCAAATAGGCTACTTTGTATCCCGGAAAAATGTACGGTTCCCGTGGGATAAATTTGTCCTTGTTTGGGTAGAGGCTCACCGGAGCGAAGCGAGGGCGAGCCGCTAGTTTAATAAATAAAAGTAACAAACTGATTAAAGATAAGAAAGTCTTACTTCACTTAGATAATTATCTTGAAGTACAATACAATATTTTTTTTATAATTTCAATCGAGCACAAACTTACATACAACATTAAATAATATAAATAGAATATTTATATTTTTTTAGCTTATATCAACAGGTAATTTAACATAATACATTATAATATTAATAGCACGAGCAAACAATAGCCTTATTTAAAAGTATGAATGCTAAATTATTAAAAATGAAATGTGTTTTTCTTACCTTGACCCACACACACACACACATTTAATAGTAGGTACTGAAATTATTTATCAAAAATAACTCGTATATAATATGAAATAAAATACATAATTCATTTACTTTATTTTTAAATTACTTATTGGTATATACTCGTAAATGGCTTAGTTTATAGAGCGCCTGTACTTTGCCTGGGCGCCGGGTTCGAATCCCACTAATATAGTTTTTTTTAATTTCAATAAAATATGTTTTAATAGAAAAAATCCTCAAAAAATCCATATTTAAATAAAAATCTAATAAAAAGAAATTTAGTAAATTATAGCAAACTAAATTAAAATTATTATTATATATAATAAATAATAGCAAACTAAATTAAAATTATTATTCTTTATTAATTTTAACTTTTTTAAATTACAATTATGTGGCTGAAATAATTAATATTATATTTTTTCTTTATGGTTATAAATATAATAATGGCAACACTAAATATAAATTACTAATTAATATTTTTAAAATTGTAATAATTATAATGATAACAGCAAAAATTAAATAAATAATATGCCACATTCAATTATAAAACTAATTAAAATTATAAAAATGTTTAAAGTTATAAAACATTGTAAGGTGCTTGGTACAATTTTATCATTTTGTTATTTGTAGGCTGTCTGTAACAACTATACATTCGAGACATCTTACACCTCATCTCTCCCGTGACCATGATTGCTGTAAAGCATTCGAAACGTCGGGAACCAAAAATCAAAATAAATCCGCGAAATAATCCGAAAAGATAGTTTTATTTAAAATGTCAAATATTCGCGTAAATCTAAGAGAGTATTATAAATATATTATAACTTTAAATTGCTTTTTTCTCATAATCTATGCATTAGAACATACCCTGTTCTTTGCCTGTACCCTTCATATGTATTATACTATAGATGCTTATAGGTTATTTAGTAAGTTAATTTCAATATACGCCAAGCATTCTTACAAACATGGAAGATTAATCTGGATAAATAAGATGATAATATTACACACACAATATACATATTATTTATTCATAATTAATTCATCAACCGACTTCAAAAAGGAGGAGGTTCTCAATTCGACTGTATGTTTTTTTTTTTTATGTTTGTTACCTCAGAACTCCGTCATTTATTAACCGATTTGGAAAATTTTTATTTTGTTTCAAAGGGTATACTTCCAGATTGGTCCCATTTAAATTTCAAAAAAAAATACCACCCCTAAGGGTGGAAAAACAACTAATGATGAATTTAACCTACTTCTAATTGTCATATTGACTTGAAACTTTGCAAGTATTTCTATTTCCGTTGATAGTACAGTGGTTCGGTGTTGTTGACCTGATCTGATGGCAAGGCCAGAAGGTGGATAGGTGGAACTCTTCAACGGCTAATAGTAGATACTTTGAGTTTGGGCTTATTTTGTTTGATTTGACAAGCCTAACACGTTAGATTCCTTACTTTGCTTCTACTGTCTACACTAAAAAGGGAAAAATAAAAACTTTTTAACAAAAAATAAAAACCGACTTCAAACAAAAGCACTAAAAAGTAAAAAATAACTGATTGGTAGTTTTCATTTACTATACATACCTAATCAAATATTTTCGAAGTCGGTGTGCTTTGGCTAAGTAATTAAAGCCTACCTATTAAATACATACCTAATCAAATATTTTCGAAATCGGTGCCAGCCCATACAAAGCAAAGCACACCGACTTCGAAAATATTTGATTAGGTATGTATAGTAAATGAAAACTACCAATCAGTTATTTTTTACTTTTTAGTGCTTTTGTTTGAAGTCGGTTTTTATTTTTTTGTTAAAAAGATTTTATTTTACATGCCGATACATATCAGAAAACAGCTAATTAACGTTGATAGTAAACTATTAAAAAAAAACACGCAATAAATACTTGCTACTTAAGTAACTTAACACCTCCAGGTAAATTTCTAACAAATTAATTAAAATTCTAAGAAATCTATTGTTAACTGACACACCGGGGTGGCCGCGGTCGTGGAGGGATTAATCTTATTTATTTATTTATTTATTTTAAAGGCTTACTAACTAAATTTACATAAAACATGAATTTAACATAATAATATTTTGCTATCTATATCACTACATATTATAAAACAAAGCCCTCCGCCGCGTCTGTGTGTCTGTCTGTACATTTCTATAAAAAAATAAGATTACTTACTACGTGTTCACTGTGACAAATTAGTGCAAGCGCAATCTTCAGTTTCGAAAGTAACTTTTAAAAACTGCAAATGAGTTAAAGCAAAAGCATTATAAAATTATTGAATATTAGATACCTACATTTTATGTAAGTCATTCTTCAGACATTGTTTACTATTTTTTATACATCAAAAATAAGTAAATACAAGTACCTAGTATTGCATTTTACTATGAACACGTTTCTATATTTCAAAAATTAAATACATAAATTTTATAT